TCATGCATACACATATAAATATAATGTATTACGTGCCAGAATGAATATATAAACAAATTATAATCTGGTAAAAAAAATGAAAAAAAATTTATGAAAAAAAATGAAGAAATGTGAACAGAAAAATAGGCACATAACTCAAGGATTTTTTTTCACAAATGACAATTAAGGCAGAAAAAAATTTCAAGAAGAAACAAACAATTTATTAGAAAAACTGGTGACAGTCACGAAACATTTGTTTAGATAACTAGTTTCGTAAGAAAGACTTGGAATGCTTTAGAAAAGAAAATATAATGAGATAAAAAAACACAACAACAATTCAACAAAGGCAACGACTAATTAATTGCACCTTCCATGAGATGATAGACGAAAAATTGATAATGTTAGAGAGAGTACTGATTTCTTAAAAAATTGAATTAAAAAGTAAATCTCATATTAAGAATTAGAGATAGTAATCGATTCAGTACTCAAACACCCATCATTGTCCCAGAACTCCGGCCACATTCTAGAAATGAATGGTTTTTCATTTATTTCTATAAACATTGTTCAGACCATAAGCATGCTTCCCCAGTATGAAGGCATTCAGACTATTGTTTGCCTTTTGGTTTATATATTTCTCTGTCGTGTAAGGTTTTGGACTTTGCTAACCCCTGTCTCAATGTGACTGTAATAACACAACACAATGCAGAAGCTAATCATGCACTTCCAAAGCAGTTTCACATAATGTAATAACTAAATAAATTTCTAATTGACAGAATAGCAAAATTAGTTCCATTTTCTCGCACACCAAACACTAGTCCCCTGGCAGATCTCCAACCTCCGAAACCAAGCCCAAACTAGATGCCTTCAGGGAAATTTTCTCCTGCACAAAGGTATAAAATCAGATCAAGGCTAATTAAGTATGAAAGCAATAGTTAAAAGCAAAGAATGGGGAGAGACCAAGAAGTATTAGCAGTTAGCTTCCGAGTCGCCTCTTGGATTTTGCTATTCTCAGCGCTGCCTTGACATAAATCCAGTCTGTCACATTGGTCAAGAACTTGAAGTAGGCGTGTCTCCAAGAACGGTCGAAAAGTATTGACCCAAAGATACCCCAGAAGGCAATTATAAATCCGATTGCCAAACTCCAATAACATCCTTTAGATATGAATGAATCCTCATCTTCTTGGACCCCAATAGGTTCTTCAGGTGTGTTCTCCGCACGGCATGATTTATCAAGTGGTTTTCCACATTCAAGGTTTCCCTCATAGCTTGAGCCATTAAAACTCTGCAACTGTGGGCTGATTGGTGTTCAAATGCACCTAAAATTGTCTTAGATTGAAGTAGCATTAGTACTAATTAACTAATTAGGAGGTGTAATTCTATACAAGTTCATGTATCATTCTTCAATAATTTAGCTAAAACGACATAAGAATTACACTGCACCAAAAGCATGCATGCCTTCCAGAAATTAATTAATGTTTTCTTTGGGAAACAAAAGAAAGATAAAATACTGACTTGGAAAGAAAAAGCATAACCACAACACATTGCCCTGCCCTCAATTCAGAAACAGAGGATGAAGCCTCTGACACTGAGACATGAACCATAGAAACACATTAGTTTTGTCTTCCTTTCTTAGGACAGCTACACTGTTTTAGATCCATAGTTTCGTATATATAGTGTAATGAAGGAGGAGGAAAGTCGGGCAGAAGAAGAGAAGAACTAGTATAGAGTAAATCAAGCACATTACCTGACTCCAAATTTTGATGGCTGATGAGACGGATATATCACAATCTATAGCATATATACATACAGTGACAGAACCCGTCCCTGTGCCTTGTTTCGATTCATATATGCATGTGTGTTTTCGGTTCAGTTTTTTGATGAGTAAAATAATAATAACATCTTATGAACTGGCACTATAATGATTATCATTGTTTGATATCAAAATCATAAATTTGACTTTTTCATATAATTATAGTTAAATCTCATAAATACTTAATTTCCAAAAACGTAGGTTTGGGGATGTCTTTTTCGGTGATATTACACCAGCTCAATGAATTTTAATCTGATTTAACTACTTGATGATAACGAAAAACATAAGCTTGACAAGTTGTTCAGATCTGATACTACATAATTACAAGTTAAGGTTAAATACTGATGGCAGGAAAAAAGGTTAAATACCAAATGCGCAGAAAGTAAAAGCATAAATATATAGTAGATTAGAAACGAATTAATAGTAGGTATGCAATGGAAAAGCAATAAAAGCAAGAATAAAGATATAAGAAAGTATTACCAGATAACTTCTGAGCCATCTATGGCATTTTGTCACATTCATTGCAACCATAACATAAATAAAATCGGTCAAATTGTTCAGGAACTTGAAGTACGCGTGCCTCCAGGATCGATTAAAAAGCATTGGCCCAAAAAGCTCTCCAAAATCCAATAATGAATCCAAATGCCATGCTCCAATAAAACTCCATAGAAATAATTGAGCCATTCACATCATGACGGATCGGCAATTACATACTCCCAGCAACCATAGTTTTGGACAGCATTCAAACATGCTCACTCTCTCTTATTAAGTTAATTGATCAAATCATGCTCAGGGGTAATTGCTGCAGGAACGGGATCTATTAGCGTGCATAGAGATAACTGGTGAGAGCACGTAATTTTCTATGATTAAATTAATTAACTTGCTTTTACCCATTCTAATTAATATGCAATCTTTCATCTCGAAATCCACAAAAATTTAAGAATTTTTAACTCCGAAATCAAAATTGGGGGTTTCATTTCTATAAGAGCTACACATGGAGATCAGATATTTTGGGCCGTGATGGGCTCGTCGTTTGATCAAGCGCAGATATAGCCCAATGTCTTATGCTTTTGAACTCTGGTAGATCAAACATCAAATTTTAAAATAAAATTAACATAAAATGACTTAACCTACTTCATTAAATTATGGAAGGGCGGGAGCTTGTTGTTAGATTGGAGATGAACCCCTTGCCATTTCATTAAATTGTAGAAAATGGACTTCATTACCTCCAATCTCTCTCTCTCTCTCTCTCTCTAATCACAAACTCAAATAATGTATTTTCAAGTAGTGAAGAACTTAATAATTTTCGCCGCAAAATGCATTATCCTAGGAAACCTTATACCCAATATGAGTAATCTTATTTTTAATAATTCCTCAAGAAAAATGTGATTTCTCTTCCACAATTTCAAACTCCCTCTCCAAATCTTTTGTTTTTTTTTTCCCAATTGAAACCACCTGATATTATGCGATTGTCCTGTTTTTAACCGGAGGACCTAATAAGACCTGAAATAATCTGGATTGAGCAGGACAAGACTATAAAGGACAAAAAAAGCGCCCTCAAGCTAAACCAAGCATTAAGGCAATTACATTTTGAAGACTCAATCTCAAGACTTATTCCGCACAACTCCTGGTAACCAGGTGGTTCCACACTATTGTCTTGGTTAAGCTGAATGATATCTCTTGACGTTTTGCTCAAAAAAAAAAAAAAAGGAATGATATCTCTTGACCCAAAAAAAAAAAAAGCTGAATGGTATCTCCACTACACTAGAGCTGTTTTTATATTTTTTGTTCTTGGAATGGTGCGCTTTTGCTTATGCAACAATGACTTTACATGTACACTCTCATCATATATATTAATTTGTACTTTTTTCCCCTTCTCAAGCTGATTGAGATGAAAATTATATTAATAAATTCCAGGAAACAAATCGTATCGATGAGTTGGAGAGAGAAAAGAGCAGAAAAAAAAAGTCCAACACGCACTAAAAGTTGTCGTGACTCAGTAAATCACGAGCACGGAATCACTGAAGTTGAAATCGACCATTCATATGTTTTCTATAAATACCTCTATTTTATATATGACACACAGCAGAATTCGAACTAACACACATTAATCTAAGATTGGCATTGAAGAAGGCTCAAACTTAAGGCTCCAACATGGGAAGTGCTTCCATGTTGCTGTTAGCCTCGTTGGCCATGAGTCGGTAAGCCAAAACTACAACATCATCCATCAATTAATGGAACTCAACTTCCCAGTATGCATGTTTGAAGTTTTAGTATGCATGTTTGGCTCTGATCAGAGGCGGTGCGAGCGGAATTGGTGAGTGTACTGCAAGGCTCTTCTCGCAGCACGGAGCTAAAATGGTGATCTCTGATATCCGACATGACTTGGGTCACTCAGTTTCCAAAAAGCATCACAGATTCTTCTTCTTCTTCTTCTTCTTCTGCTTCCTGTGTCCATTGCGACGTCACAAAGGAAAACGGCAACGAAAGCGAAAACGAGAAGACGAAGAGAACAATATAACTTCCGTTATTGTGTTCGCCGGCACGGCATGCAACGAAATCATTGTTTTCCATTCAGAAACAGAGCATGAAACCTCTGCTACTGCCACTACCACTGTGTGAGACATGAATTGCAAACCTCAACATGAACCACACAAACACATCATAATGAGCACTATATAACCAAGTCTAGGAGTAAATTTGGGCGGAAGAAGAGAAGAACGAGTGAGTGCAAATCAAGCACACTACCTGACTCTAAATCCTCGATGGTTGATGACATCCATCACCATGCAAATAGATTTCTGCGGCTTATACAATGACATGACCCACCCCTGTGCCTTCTTTCAATACATAATACATGTGTTTTCAATTCACTTGTGCATGTGTATACCCATCAAAACCCTCGTAGTGCATTGGTACTTATGTGCAGACAAAGCATCATTTCCATCAAAATTATTGAACTTGCAGTATAACGGTTGTTATCGTTTGATATCATAGTATAATAACAGAATAAAACAAACAGTACAAACCAGCAATACATAGTATTTTAGAGCTCGACAACATGCTCTAACGTTGGATTATTTAATTTAGTAATTAATGACTGCTTGATCATTGCACTCAGTTATGTCGGTCTTTCCAGCAGCAAACTCTTAGCCCGCATATGTCATGTCTCCTGCCCTGCATGTACTCCAACCTTCAAGCTTGAAGATGTTCACCTGAGTTTCTCCTGCAAAAAGCAAGGAACCAGGCAGCTTGATGTTACGGAAAACAGATATCATTTCATTTTTACACACATAGGAACTAGAAGTCAAAAATTAAAAGAACAGATGTGATTTATGATTAATTTGTTATGCTAACTTCTCAAAACCTTCCATTACTTGTAGGTAGGGGTGAGCATTCGGTTTTTCGGTTCGGTTATCGGTGATAACCGAATTAACCGAATAACCGAATAGAGTAAATTTTAAACACCGAACCGAAACCGAATTAACCAAAAATTTCGGTTCGGTTAACCGATTAACCGAAATATATAAATATGAAAAATAATTTTAAATTAAAAATAATAAAACACAATTATAACCATTAATTAATAATATTTCATCATTCAATGTGATTTATTATAATAAATAATATTTATTGAATATAAATATATTTAAAAAGTTCACATATATCCACATATATATTTATTATAATAATATTTATTAAATATAAATATATAATATATTTATTTCGGTTATTCGGTTATAACCGAATTTTTTTCTACTAACCGAACAGAACACCGAAACCGAATTGTTTTAAAAATAAAAACCGAATATATAACCGAAAACCGACATAACCGAACCGAAAAACCAAAATTAAATTTGGTTCGGTTCGGTTTTCGGTTACGGTTCGGTTTTGCTCACCCTTGCTTGTAGGCTATTGCTATTTATTTTTACTATATAATGAGTATGCACAACGTGACATTGACAATTTTCATATAATTATAATTAAATCTCATAACTACTTAATTTTCAATCCGTAAGTTTATGAGTTGCCAGTTTTATTTTAATTTGTTGTATTATACAGCACAATGAATTTTAAGGTGTTTAACTACTTAATGATAAATGATAATAATAATAATAATAAAAAAGGCTCGCCCATTTGTTAATAAGATATAGTACCATAAAATCATAAGTTAAATGTTAATTGCGCAAAAGTTATATAAAAGCAAAAATATATATATAAAGACTAATAATTAATAGTAGGCATGCAAAAACTAGAAGTAAGAACATAAGAAGTATTACCAAATAGCCTCTAAATCGCCTATTGCACTTTGTCACATTTAGTACAACTATGACATAAATGCCATCAGTCGCATTGTTGAGGAATTTGAAGTATGCGTGTCTCCAAGAGCGATTAAAAAGAACTGGCCCGAAAATTCCCCAAAATCCAATAATGAATCCAAATGTCATGCTCCAATAAAACTCCCTGGAAAGAATTGTATCGATATTTTCTTGGAACTTAACTGATTCTTGAGGTTTTCCCTCTCCAGGACACTTTATGTCGAGTGGCTCTCCACATAGGCCAAGATTTCCTTTATAGCTTGAGCTATCAAAACTTTGCAGTTGTGTTCCAATTGGAATTTTTCCAAAAAGGTTGTTATATGACAAATCTAACACTGCAAGACGATGAATTTGAGCAAAACTAGAAGGAATTGGACCAAACAGATGGTTTTTGGACAAATCAAGAGAATCTAATGATGCTAATCTTCCAATTTCCAAAGGAATTTCTCCGTTTAATTGATTCCTCGATAAGTTCAATGAAATCAATTCAACCAACATTCCTAGTTCTGGTGGAATTTTTCCAGTTAACTTGTTGCTTGAAAGATCAATGCCTTTAACTAATATATCATGATTAAAAATACGTTCTTGGCCTTTCCACATCAACAATGCACTTGAATCATATGTAACTTCAATTTCTCCGTTCTCGACAGCATCAGATATAGGCCAATTAGATAAAAGATCAAAATATCCACTTTGTAGATCACTTCGTAGAGCCATTTGTGTGAAGTTTTTGAAGCATTTGGGGATTTGACCAGATAGAATGTTCGAAGAAAGATCCAAAAAATGAAGGTTCGATAAATAACAAAGATGAGTTGATAGCAAACTTCCCGAAATGTTATTATCTCGTAAGATTAAAATTTCTAAATTTTGCAATTCATTCCCAATCCATGAAGGTATATGTCCGAAGAACTTGTTTCGTCCTGCATCAAGAAGGGCTAAACTTGAGCAACTCCTCAAAGCAATAGGCACCTCTCCAGTAAACCCATTGTTTCTCAATATCAATATTCTAAGAGCTTGTAGAGAACCCACAGAAATGGGAAATTCTCCAGAGAAATTGTTATTACTCAAGTTTAAAAACCATAATGATTTGAAAGGACTCCAACAATCAGGAAGCTGCCCATATAATTGATTATCAGAAAGATCTAATATATTTAGTACTGGACTTGACCATTTTGCACATAAAAATATGTGAAGCTCAGAAAAATTATTATTTGACAAAAAAGTGCCCCTGCATTTTGTAGAAACTTTGGAAGTGAGCCTTCAAATTGATTTGGAGCTAGATCTATGGTAGGGTATTCACCAAATTCTATGGCAACATTCGGTAAAATACCAGGAATATTGTTGCATGAAAGATGAAACATTCAAGTTTTTAAGTCGTGGTGTCAACAAACCCCAAAACCACTCTGGAATAGTGCTTGAAATTCCAGCATTTGAAATGTCAAGCTCTGTGATATTATTTTTAGTTTGCAACCATTCCGGAAAACTAGGACCCAACTTGCATGACCTCAAATAGATGGCTTCCAATTGAAATGGTGGGACCCAATTATGGCTAAATCTCAAAGTGAATGAGTTGTCAGATAGATCCAAAAGTTTTAAGTTGTGCATATTGGCAAGATGTGAGTCTGTGAGAATGCCTTTCAAGGAGTTGGAATGAATATCCAAAGATACCAATGAAGAGGGGAATTGAAAATCTTCAGGTATTGTCACATTCAAGAGATTCTATGAAATGTCAAAATTCTTCAAAGACGGGAATCTAGAAAGGCTAACGAGTGTGCCGGTGATTTGATTATAGCTCAAGCCCAGGTATTGCAAAGAAGATCTGGCACAACTATAACAAGATTGAAGAATTGTTGAAAGGTTTTCACTCACAAGATTATCACTTAGAGATAAGGAACGTAAAGTACATATATGCCCTAAGGATTTAAATCCCCCATGGATTTCATTACCACTAAGTTCTAAGTTCTCAAGAGAACTCATCATTCTAGCAAATTCTTAAGGAATGGGACCCTCAAGGTGGTTCCAATAAAGACTAAGATCAACAAGGGTGGTGCTGATATTTAAGATCCAATGGAATACTATAGATGACTCGAATTTATTCCCTGTCAAATCCAATCTAGAAAAAGAAGAGGAATTGAATTTTAAGGAGGGTAAGGAGACGATATACTCATCTGACAGATTATTGTGCGGCATGATTAGCTCTTTCAAGTTGGGTAGCTTTGCAATCATTTGCAACCACTTGTGAGAATATTTGAGATCAGTCATGTATTCCAGCTTTAGATGGGTCAACGAAGTGAGACTAGAGAGCCACTCACATCCAGCACCATTTTCTTGATCGATTTTGAGAGTGCCTGGAGATGATAGTAGAAGATATTGCAAGTTCGAAAGGTTCCCAAGTTGACAAGGTATCACTCCATCAAAAGAATTGTATGAGAGATCAAGATATTGCAATTGGGAGAAATTTCCAAGTTGAAAAGGTATTGATGCTGTATGATTATTTGCCGAAAGATCAAGATGCTCCAATTGCACAAGATTTCCAAGTTGACGAGGTATTGCTCCTGTAAGACCTGAATTCGACGAGAGATCAAGATGCCTCAATTGTGAGAGATTTTCAAGTTGATAAGGTATCTCTCCTTCAAGTTGATTATATGAGAGGTCAAGATACTGCAATTGCAAGAGATTTCTGAGTTGATAAGGTATTGCTCCTTGAGCCCAATTTCCTGAGAGGTCAAGATATTGCAAGTGTGAAAGAAGCCCAAGTTGAGTTGGAATATTTCCTCCACTTAAACGGCAATTGTGGAGATCAAGGTATCTCAAGTGGTTTAGAGAGCCAAGGAATTCGGGGATCGGCCTATCTTCAAAATAATTGAAACTAAGGTTCAAATACATCAGGTATTGTAACTCCACCAGTAGTGACGCATCCATCTCACCTTTCAAGCGAAACTCTGGAAATTCACCAGGAAGATGGAGCTTGATGACATGACCAGTTTGGTTGTCGCAGAAAACTCCCTCCCATGCACAGCAATCTGTCTTGTGCTGTTTACTACCCCATGAAAACCATCTGACAAGGGAAGAGTTGCCAAGGGCAGCCTTAAAGCGAAGTAAGGCTTCCCTCTCCTTCTCTATGCATTGAACCTCATCAGCACCCATGGCTCCCAACAATTGGGATCCAGGAGCCGAAGCTCAAACACTGCCATAGCTAATACAAGCAATTTCAGAAAACCCATCATCCGCATTTCTTTCACAAGTGTATTTCCACTGAGTTGATAATGCTAGACACAGTATTGATGAATCTATTGGCTAGTATTTATAGAGATCATTGCTGATCCCTCTTAATGTGATCATTTTGACTCTAATTTATTTTCCACACGGCAAAGAATAGTAGGTATTTGCGTCCCAGCAAGCTTCAATCTCTGTCATCTGCTTGCTCTCTAATTTCGAATTAATGCAGTGACGTGGACAGCCCCATTCAACTACTTTAAGAAAGTACTCATGTAGAACAAAAAATTTTCTCTCAGAAACAGAAAGGATTCAAGAAAAACGAAAAAAAATCATTGGAAAAAAAAAAGTACTTGTTGTCAGGAAATACCTTGCTCTGTTGACTTCAGGAGGGAGACCTTAAAGATCGTTTACTGAAGAAAATTCAACCAAAGAAAAAATAATCATTTAGAAAAACAAAAGGAATTATTGATAATGCCGGACACAGTACTGGCTTGCTGCTGTTATTGATCTGTTAGAATGTATAGACATAACTGTTGAGAGTATGTAATTTTTATATAATTAAATTAATTAACTTGTTTTTGCACGTTCTAATTAATATGCAATCTTTCATTTTCCTATCAATCATATACATACCCGGGCTTTTCCTCATCTATTATTTTCACTCTATTTAATAAGTTGTTTCCCAAAAAAAAAAAAAAGGCAAGGACAAGTATAATCTGATACCACAGAATGAATGCCCCAAGCTTCACGGTCAATATTCAACAACTATCATTTTCACTCTTATTTCCCAATTTCCACGCGACAAAGAAAAGTATGCATTTCCGTCCCTACCTTGGAGATTCACTGTCAACTGCGCTCTAATTTCAAATGTGCGGTTTCCTGGAAAGCTTCATTCAACGACTGTAAGTAAATTCTCTTCCATATATAACAAAATGTTTTCTATGAGATCTTAAAGCAAAAAACGAAACAAAAAGGATTATATTCAAGAAAAACCAAAAAAAAATTATTGAAAAATATAGTACTTATATCAGCAATAAGTACCTTGGCCAATTGGTCTTACGAGGGAGACCTTGAAAAGTTTACTGGAGAAAATTCATCCAAAGAAAAAACATCACAAAACAAAAGGGAAAGGATTGATATATAACAACTCACTAATTAATTATTTCCTAGAAATTTGTTGCCCTGTTTAAATTAAATAATTTATAATCCCGTCAACACGCCTAGTTCCTTCTTTTGCCTACACAGGGTCGAAATTCAAATAACTGATTTTCCAAGAGGAAGCTTAACGGCCATCTTAATTATGTCCGTCGTTTTCACTCTAAATTCAAATTAATGACATGTGGTGGGAACAAGATAATAAGTCAAAAATGGAATAGTACTAATACAATATCGAATCATCCACATGAAGTTTTCTAAAGGGTATGTCAACTTTTAATTTTCATATTTTTAAAAGAGTTAATGAAGAATTGGGAAAAAAAAAATATGAACAGGAAAACAGGCACATCAAGATCAAGTATAGTGGGCCGTCATGGGCTCTCCGTTTGATCAAGCCCATGATATGGCCCAGCGTCTGATGCTTCTTCAGTCAAACTTAAACCACCTCATTAAATTATGAAAGTGGCGGGAGAGTGTTGTGGTACCAGACATGGCCTCATTAAATTGCAGGAAAGGGACTTCATTAACTTTAATCCCCCCCCCTCACTCTATTTTCTTTTTTTAATCTCGTATTAGAAACTCAAATTATGTACTTCCAAGTAGTGAATGGCTTAATTGTCGCCACTAGTGGATAGAAATGCATTATCCTGAAAAAGCTCTAAGGCCAATGTTCAAGAGCCCCCATTTTCACTCTAATTTAATTTCCACATCGCAGAGAAAAGCGGGGCTGCGTAAAGGCCAGTTTGGACCCGACTATAGGTGTGTTTGGATGAAACCAAACCGTGATTTGGAAAAGTGATTCTGGATAATAAATTCTGGGGAGAATAGATTTTATAAAAAAGTAATTCTGAGAAGTGAGAGTGTTTGGATAGTTATTATCAGAAGCACTTTTTATATATACAAATTACTAAAAAAAAGACATAAGTTAATATGATAATTACAGAAAAAATAGATTTTATGATATATTTTAATTTGAAGAAATAAAATTGTTAATAATATATTTTTTACCAACATAATTAATAATACATAAGATAATATAATTAATAAATAATTAATATGTATATATATTTATAAAATATAAGATTAAATATGTTTATAAAAAAATATGTTTATAAAAAAAAATAACAAAATACATATCCCATAGGCTTTCACACTCTTCCTTTTTTCTCCAAAAGCAAAAAAATTTTGCTTTTTCCAAAACCATGGTTTTGGAGCCAAAACCATAGTTTTGGTTTTTGGGTGGGTGTTTGAGTGATTTATTCCCCAAACCACGGTTTGGGTTATCACCCAAACACACCCATATATGTATCAATATGAAATCTCATTTGAAAAATGACCAGGCTAAAATTTTTTTGGTTCGTATAGACTGACCGATCCAGTCTGATTAGGCTAAGATAAAAAGTGAATAATACATAATAATACAATGTCGAGTTACATTAATTTTTCTAAAACGTACGTCAATTTTTAGTTTTTATTTTTCTTAAATGTTAATGAAAAAATGAATAAACATGAAAATGAAAATACATTTCCGTAGAAGCAGCTTTATCAAGCCCGTGATGCAGCCCAATGGGTTGTTTGTTTAAATGTTATAACAAGATAATAAAAGCCCAATGTTTGATGCAACAACAACTGTCCATGTAAAAGTTATGGTAAATGGATAAATCACCATCCCCGTCATCGTCATTATATATAAAATTTGAATTACAAGCCTTGTTGGGATGGACCCTCCAATATGTGTAATATGTGCTTCCTTCCTTGTGTGTGTGTGTATTATTTTCCCCATAAAAAACGTATTTGATTTGAACCGTTTTGATTGGACAGAGCGATATTGTTGGAGAATATAATAACATTATATTAAAAAAAGGAAGAAATTCTTACCAAAAAAAAAAAAGAGGAAGAAACACATTATTAATACCCTTTATATTGAAAATCTTACGAGTCCTAAAAAACACGAAACTGGGTAATTTGAATTTATAGAGTCCCCTATAACGTTATAGTGCAGAGAATTGAAATAATCACATAGTCTATCTTCTGTGATTTCAATAAGCTTAAACTGTAACTTTTGGTGAAGAAAGAGGAACACACAGAGACCAGCTTAAACTGTAACTTTAATTACGTGTAAAATTTGCCAAGTTTGAATTCTTGAATATAAGTTAAGAAGGTAATTAAAAAGCAAAGCCTTTTCTTTTCTTTAAAAAAGAGAGAGGGAAAATATAATGAGTCATCGGAGAATAAAAAATAGCCAGCTTATTAGAACCTACGAAAACACAATAAACGTGAATCCAAACGTGATCAAGGGATTATAATTAATTCAATTTATTATTCCCCTCATTATTACTTTTAATATAAAAAATTGATATATTATATACCCACATTACATTCATTTAAAATTCTCATCATTATCATTTTAAAATAATAAATTAATTCATCTCACGTGGCAATACTTTTCAGTTCACTCATACAGCCCAAGACAAGAATGCCCACATCATTGATGGGGCAGGTTTGGTAATTGGTATATTCAAAAGAAAGGTAATGCTCTATTGCGTAAAATAAAATATACGTAGAATTTTTTACATATTTTTCATCATAATCGAATATTTATGTGGCATTAGCTGGCTAGAATTAAAACAAATGTTATATGTATCGTGGATGTCCCGTGGTTGATTGGAAAATAAGAAACTTCCTACTTCAGATTTTGCTTGAAAAAAGACAAATAAAAAAAAAAGATGAAAAAGGCAAAATCTCCCAACTCACACACATGAAACAAATGGGAAGGCTTATACTAAGCAAAAGTCTCCGAAACAATCTACTACAAACCAAGCTATTTATCTATAACAATCTACTTCTCCGGTCATTAATATAAGACATATTTAATTAATTTAATTAGATTAAGAAAGTTAGGTAAATTAGTTAATTATAAAAAAATATAACATGTTTTTCTTAAAACACCATAATTATCTTTCTTAATATCCCCTTTCCTTCTTTTACTTGATTATGGTTAAACGAGTATTTACAAGAATAATTTAGAAAAAATTTATAAATATGAAAAATAGATTTTATATTTAGAATCAAAATGAACTCAATAATTAGGTCCTATATTAAAGATTGAAGGAGTACTAAAAAGAAGGAAACAAATTAACTGTCTCAGTCTACCAGATAATTGCTAAATATTTGAATCACTTTTCATTCGATTTATCTTAATTACAGTTGATGACTTTTAAGGTGTGTGATAAAACTCTCGTGTCATCCTATGTTTCTCTAACCAGCTCTTGAATTGTTGTAAACAGAACGCATGGGAAACGAGTTTTGGTATTAAATGGACTGATGAGCATTAAGAGCTTATCACCATTGTGCCCCATTCATATCTATTAACTCATAAGGTTCAACCAACAAGGTTGGGTCTAGTGAAAAGGACTAATCCCTCACAATGTGATGAACTAAGATTTAAATCCCTATTGGGAGAGATATCTATATTTAATGCCCAACAGTGTCTCGAATAGGATTGCTTCCAATACGAGGATACTTATACTTTAGTAAAAAATTCGTAAGGCTCAGATTCAATTATTCTTTACTTTTTATTTTCAATGTAAAAATATTCTAATTTGCATAAAATTTGAAATAAAGATAAACCAGAGGAATGAAATCCAGAGGTTTAAATTGGACCATGCTTCTTATCCACGCCGAGCAGGAATTCATGGTACTTGAATTCGAGCCAACACACATAATTATTGAAGAAGGCTCAAAAGCTCCATCATGGGAAGTGCCTCCATGCT